TTATAATTGCTGCCTTGGATATTCTTGTAGTTTCAATTTCTTCAAAACAATTTTTTTCCCCCTCCCCAAAGTCCCAGTACAGAGTTGTGTATCTACACAGAGTAGTTGTAAGTCATTCTATTTCTGCTATATGGGATGTCGCCACAGCGTGGCTTGATGAGCAGTGTGTAGGTCCAAGCCCAGGATCCAAACCAGCAAACCCCAGGCCACCAAAGTGGAGCATGTGAACTTAACCACTTGGTTACAGGGCTGGCTCCTCAAAAAAAATTGTTTAGTAGTCCCATTACGTTTAAAAATAACAAAAAGACACAAAGCAAAGAAGGAAGGTCTGAGCTAACCTCCAATTGTATTGGAATCATTACAAATCCAGGTCAAATGGATACTTGTGCTGTGTGTTTCCTCTGAGCAGCTCTTCCCTCCCTCTCCTATTCAGATGTCAGGTGCTGTTGGATAAATAGAATCAGCGAGAGGAGCCACTGGACGAGAACAGTGACAAATGGGATGCGCTGTAGGAGGATTTCATTTGGCATCCTGATATCTATCACAAGGACTTAATTAGGATAAATGGCAGGGAATACACTGAGTGCAAGGCAAACCCATTCACCAGGGCATATGGAGGGCTTACAAGGTGAGGTAAATGGGATATGAGAAAAAAAATCACATTAATTCTATCTTGTTGCTGAAAGACAGAGAGCTCTGATAACCTTTCCTGGGTTGCAATGGGACAGTGAAACCTGGTGGTAGGGATTATAAACTCTTCGGTTCCTAACTGCAGGACTCCTCAGGAATCTTCAGGACACCGTCCCAGCACCCCAGTGCTCAGCTTCCAGGATAAAGGTCCAAAGACCTTGCATTTGCACCGGTCTCAGCCCATCGCCCTCACCTTGCCGGGTCGTGAGTTTTTCCATGAACAAATGAGACGGACTCCATGTTTTGTTGAGAATATTTATAAGAACCAGGCTTATTCTTTTGTGGTAATACCTCTGTCATAGAAACACGACTTGTCTCTCAAGGTCCTGATCTCCAGATAAGCTCCAGATCTCCTGGAAGCTGGTGTCCTCGCTGTTACTCCCCGCCCGCCCGCACCCTGCCTGTGGACCGTCTGCTCCAGGTGGGGCTGCCACCAGCTGGTCTTGGTACTCTGTGTACCATTGTTCTCTTCCTTCTGAGTCTCTTTTCTTTTTTTTTCATCCTGTTTCAAGTTTTTTAATAGAGTGCCTGTATTTCTTTAGAAGTCAATCGTTCAATTCATTGAATAATGAATGCATGAGTGAGAAAGGGAGGGAGAAGAGCGAGAACCTGTCAGAATTCCCTGCTGAGAGCACTGCTTAAGGAGGAAATACTCCTGCGATCACTTTACAGTGTGGTCCTAACACTTAAACACTAAACATGGTTAAATTAGTTGATTTTAACACTAAAAGGAATTTTAAAGAGTTAAACCCTAGGAGATATTTTAACATATGATATATATGTGCTTCTTGTATGAGTGAATATAAAATAATATGAAAAATGCAACTTATTTGGTCATAGCATCCTGAATTCATCTAAGTGAGGAGGAAATGCTTGTTGACCATCTATTAGGCACAAGCCACTGTGCTAGCACAATAGGAAACGCTAAGAAGAGTAAAAGATGCGCTCAAATTGTTAATAACCTAGTAGGAAGAACAGAGCCCTTCTTGATTTACTCTTTCCTTCAGTTATCTATAAAGTATTTATGCAGAGCCTAGGATGTGTCGGGCTCGATGCTAGGTGCTTGGGACGAGGCAGTGAGAGGACGATGCAGTTCTGCCCCCTGGGGTGTTGGGATCCAGCTGAGGTTACACACATAGGATCCCTTCCTAACCAAAGCCCAATGCGATGGATGCCTCTGGGGGGCCACCGTCTATGACTGTCCCACAGTCCCACTCGTCACATGTGGCTACTGAACACTGGCAGTGTGGCTAGTGTGACTGAGAAACTGAAAATTCACTGTTATTTCATTTTAATGAATTTAAGTTTAAATTTATAAACCAATACCAGGGTCAGTTACTGGCAGAGTTTTTAGTATGTTTGGAACAACTTGGGTGAGTGGATCTACTTTTTTAGTTTTAAACTTTATGAATGTTTCCTATGAAAATTTAGAATCCTAAGTGAGTGGTTCTGTAAGTATAAAATGCGCCCTGGATTTAGAAGATTTAGTACCAAAAAAAAGTAAAATAATTCATTGATAATTTTTTAATCAATGTTACATGTTAAAGTAATAATGTTTTGGACATATGGGGCTAAATAAAACATATTATTAAAACGGATTTCATCTTTTTTTTCTTTTTTAATATGACTACTAGAAAATTTTAAATTTCATAGGTGACTCACGTTTGTTTCTCGTGGACAGTGCTGGTCTACGGGGTTTTGAGGGAAAGAGAAGCCTATCATGAAAGAGGTCGTTTTTGACATTGATTTTACAGAACTGACTGGATGGGTCAAGCAGAGAGGGTAGAGAGCATTCCTGGGAGAGAAGAGACTGCGCAATGATGTGATGTGGGGTCCTGCAGGGATGCGCAGTGTGCTGAGAGCCCTGGGCACTGTGATAAGGAGCAGCGGTAGGCAAGGCTGGTCAGGATGATGGCGGCCGTGACGGGGAGCCTTGACTGGCCCGGCTGAGTGGGTTGTGCTGAATCTAGCCGGCCAAGAGGGAGCTGGGAGGCTTCTGAGCAGGCGCAGTGTGGTGAGAGCGGCTTTAGTGATATTTACCTGGTGACAGTCTGTAAACCAGGATGGAATGGGGAGAACTGGAAACAAGGAGACGTGACTAGAAGCCTCCAGCAGTAATTCTGGAAGGACCCTGTGGGGTAGAAGGAGTGCTTCCTTTTAGCCAAGAATCCAAAAATAAGCAAATGAAGAAACAAATGATAAAAACTTCACAAGATTCTTATACAAATAAATGTATACACTGCATTTCCTACAAATTACCCTTTTATGAGTTGATTTCATTCCCTTTAAGTTTTTAAGAAAATGTTTACTTTTAGCTCCTGTGCAGCTACAGTGAAACTTGGGCATTGTCCTGGAGTCCAGGATGGAGTCGTATTAGCCACCTTGTAAGGAGACCTGGGCAGTTTGCTTGTCATGGGGCAACCACAAATCTCCAAGGAGAGTGAATCCCTTGGAGTCAAGAGTCACAGGAAATGAAGATTTTAAGAAATGGATACTAATGCTAGAGATGATCTGGGTGATCAAGGATCATAGAATTGTAGACAGAAAGGGCTTCTAGCTTATCATCCAATTCGACCTTTCACTTCACTGAAGAACAGGCCCAGAGAGGTTCAATGACATGTCCAAACCACACAGCTAGTTAGCAGCATAAACAGTGATTAGAATCTGAGCCTCAAGGTTTATGTATACTTTCCACCGTGCCGCATGGAATGCTGTCCATTAGGAACATCAAACATACAACAAGTCAAGAGAGATAAGATTAAACGATGAGGAATTGTGAAAGGCAATATTTGGGTCTACTATATATAGAGAGGTTATGTAGGCACACAGTTCTATGAATAAAACGTACCGGCCTCTGTTCTCTCCACCTCAGCCTTCTGGAGTGTCATTGGTTGATCCTGAATGGCTCAGGGACAGCTGCCCAGTGTTAAGACACACGGGAGGAACACTTAATCCCCACTAAGTAGGGGCCACAGGGTGGAGGGCCAGTCCTATTACCTCCCCAGGAAGATTTTCAGTGTCACGGTCTCTTCCTTTACATGTTTGCAAAGAAGAAAGACAAATAAGAGGACTAAAGAGGGAGAGAGATGTTGAGAAAAGGTAAGAGACGGAGTGTTGAAAGGTTAAGCTGAAGACTGGGTTCAAATGCAAATGTTGGGGACATTATGAAGGCCCTTTAAATAGAGCTGTCACAGGTGAACTCAGGGACACAGAAAAGCCACCCTGTGACTCCAGAGAGCTAAGCAAATAAGCACAGACCTCAAATGTCCAGAGCTGCATGGGGGCTGGGTTGCACCAAGAGCTCTGCCGAAAGTACAAGAACGTCTTTGGTTTTAATTGCCACGTCCTGTTCTGTTAGATGGCATCTGTGGAGTTGATCACATTTCAGGAAATGTTTTCTGCTTAGGGACCTTTCAGGAGAAAATATGAAAATCCAGCCTCAGCTCTGAGCCAGTCCATGGTTAGAACTTATGAATAGCTTAGGCTTTCTAAAGATTCCTTATGTCATTCAATGGATTTGCTTATGAACGTGTGTTTTATACATTTTCCTTGAAAATGGAAACCCAATGGTTATCATTAAATAATTGAAGTATTAGTTCTATAAAAGCCAACCCATGACCTCTGGTAAAAAGTCACACAGACTGGCGTCCTCCCCAAACTTGCTGCGTTCTTATTTGTGTGCACAGCACAGGTGGGCATAAAGCAAGGGCTGACACACAAGCAAAGGCTGTGTTTGGTTTTTGATTAGACATTAAACCTCAGACAGTCATTAAACTTCTTGAACTCAGTGGCTTTGGTCCAAGTTGGAAAGCAGGTCAAGCGAGTAAAGCTGAGAGTGGAGTGTGCAATCTTTTGTCCTCAGCATGCTTTGAAGATTGTTTCAGGGTTAATGTTTGACTGTGGGTCTCAACTATTTTATGCCTTAATTTCCTCACATACAAACAAAACATAAGTCTTGCAATGAAAGAAGATCAGACCTTTTCATTAATGTGAATAGTATAAACTCTTTCCTTTGGAGGGTAAAGCAAAATAGTGAAGAGTTCAGGTTCTGGAGTGGCGTGGTCCAATAGAGGTATAATGTGAGCCCTATGTGTGGGTCACACATGGGGTGTTAACTTTTCTAGTAGCCACGTGAAAAAAAAAGTAAAAACAAAGAGGTGAAATTAATTTTAATAACATTTTCTTTTATCCAGTTTATCCAAAATACTATTTCAACATGTAATCAACATTTTAAAAATTATTAATGAGCTATTTTACATTCTTTCCTTTATATTAAGTCATCAAAATATAATGTATATTTTACACTCACCACACATCTCAATTCAAGCTAGTCACATTTCAAGTGCTCAGCAGCCCTGTGTGACTGCCAGCTGCTGCATTGGGCAAGGCAACTTCGGAGTCAAATTGAATTGACTTAAAAGCAGCCTGATCTTGAGCAAGTAACTTAAGCATCCTGTACCTCAGCTCCCACATCTGTAAAATGAGAATAATAATAATAGTATCCACCTTATTGGGTTTGCTGTGAAGACGATGTGTGTAAATACATTCAAAGCCCTCAATGCAGTGCCTTGCGTATTTTTGATCAATCCATGTCAACTATCATTATTAGTTTTGGCAAAAGTACAGAGTGAAAGTGTTACTTTTTCTCCAAAACATGGTAATTCCAAACCAAGTAAAATTGAGTGGAATTTAGAGCTTAGATTTTGGGGGGATGATTGGGAGGGGCAATTATTTAGCAGCCCAAACCAGGAAAATCTAGTCAAAATATTTCATTCTTTGATTTCATCAAACCAATAATTTTTAAAATGTAAAATGGCCTTTCCCCTACGCCCGTGGCAAGGGAAAGCAAGGATCGTTCACCCAGTTGCCCGTCGACTGTTTCCCCACCTTGTCAGAAATATTTAAGGCAGCTGAATAGGTTTGTATGATTACACTGTAAAAATGCATGTATTTAGGTTTTGAGGGGCAGGATTTAGATTCCAGAGCTTTTGAAATAATGAAAACTTCAGTGTTAAACTGGAATTGCTTGGCTTCTTTTCTAAAGCAGTTTTGCCTTTGGGTGACAGCCACATCTTGAGTGAATTCTACATCGTCTCCCATCTCAGGGTTTCATTTTGGTGCTCCAGATGTCCATCAAATGAGCGCAGCATTTGCTTTGTGGCCTCAGGTCCCAGTTTGTTGTATGAATTTTTCTTAATCTCTTCTTTGGCGCCTGTGAACAAGCATAGGAGAGGTGTAAGATTTGATTAGGCCACGTTATCAGTACTTATGCGCACATGGCTCGATGGAGAAGTACTAATGTGACTTGCTGCACAATGTGAAGGCCCATAGGGAGTCAGGAAACCGGCATTCGGGGTCCATTTTGCTCTCACCCTTAGTCTTAGGGACAGCACCAAACATCTCTGCGACATTTGTTCAAAGTACATTTGCATCTTTTGTAGGAGGTTTGAGGGGTTTGGGGCTGATCAGGGAAAAAGTTCTGACCACGAGTGGCAGCACCACAGAAGCTTTACTGGCCATGCTTGGACAGGGTTGCATGAGAGGGGGAGTCCCTCACAGCATGAGACCATCCAGAGGCCCCAGGAGGCCAACATCCAGAGCAGAGCGGGAGGAGGGTAAGGGAACTCCTAGGAGAGAGGGGAATCAGGTGGGAGCTGAGCAGCATAGCGGCGGGTCTCTGGGTCAGAGAGCTCCAAAGAGCCGGCTTAGGGTCTTGTAATTACAAGGTTCTGTCTTATCAATGGCCAGCAGGTGTTGGGTGAGGTTTCGAGGGGTATGCAAAACAGGCGGGCTCTGAATGGCTAAAAATATGCTTGTTTGGGCTAATTTTTAGATAACTAGAGTGTAAAAATTTGAGTTTGGTGCTAGTGGGCTTTTGAGCAAATGAGTCTCAGCCTGTAGTGGAAAAATAAGGGACCCAGGAGCCAATACATAGAAACCGTCTTTGAGCCATTTAAATAACGAGCTTTCATTCCACGTGTGAAGAGTGTGGCATGGCGAACACAGCACAGGAGAAAGCCTTGGGTTCTGATTGTGGCCATACCACCCTCTAGCTGTACCCTGAGTGGTCACTTGATCTATGGGGCCTCAATGTGCTTGCTGTAAAGCAAGGGGTGGGACAAATGACCTCTAAGTTTCCAGCTCTAAATATTTATGACTCTCAGATTCTTGAAACTTGCTCATGATGGTAGACAGGACATTTTTTATTATTTCCATTTGTTGGATGAGGCATCTGATGCACAGAGTGGATAAGAGCTGAGCTTTACATCAAAACTCACCTAGTTGCTGGAAGAGAACTGGATTAGAACTCGCGTTTGTGGATGTCTAGATCTTTTGTGTTTTCTGTTATCCTGATGGGCAAAGAAGAGGAAATCTTTACAAAATGTTGTCCTGGAAATGAAATTAAAATTCTGCCACTACACGTAGCTATAGCCCACGCAAGAGATAACCCAGGTTTAAGGTTTATAGGAATGCTGTAATATTACCATTCTATTTTCTTTATATGTTTGCATTTATAAACTTTTGGAGTAAAAGAACTATAGCACAACTGTTTTTACTATTGTTATTGCTTTTTCTCATCTTACATTCGTTCATACGCTATGGTTTAGTAAACATATTCCTACCTGTTACATCTTTTACTCCTTCAGTGGACATGTACAGCGGTGTGCTGGTATTGTTTAACAGCCAGCTGTCCGGAGGAGGAGATTTGCTGATTTTCATGGTGTAAATACTCTCACCAGGGCCGATTTTGAGCTACCAACACAAGGTCACTGACCGCAAAGGCGGGAGAAGATGAGCCCATTTGACCTTCAAGCCCATGCTAGCTGCCCTGGCGATGCTGAGTGACGGTGAACCTGTGCACCAACTTCTTTACCCGTAGACTTTAAACTTCTTTTAAATCATTGATCACACTTGTAAAAATGCGCTTAATGCTTGTTCCCACGGGATCATTACTGTCTGGGGGTAGAAACTGTCATCTTGTTCACTCCTATTCTCAGAGCTCGCTCTCACTTCTTCCGTTGCTGCCTGCAAAATTGCCCCATGGCTGAGATGTTATTCCCGAAGACCCCACGCCTGGTGACATTGCGCACAGGTACCGGTATTTCCTCTACATCCATGGGGCTAAGTCTCATCATCCTGCATTGATTTCCCAAGTGTGTGCTCTGAACTCTCCCTTCTAACAAAGATCTTCTCTGTCATGGTAATTACTATAAAGATTCATTACTATTTTTAATAAAGCATATCACTCACACACTTGATTCGACGTTGGAAGCTGTGCTTGAAAAATATACTCTCTGTTTTACTCACCATTCTTGGTACCTTATAGGGAGTTTGACTTCCTCTCACGGTCACTGGCCAGGGAGTATGTCCTTTCCTTCTGAAAGGAGGGAGGTTTAGCTAAAAATAAATGAGTTTTAAAATCTTTATCCTAAAACTTGTCTAGATTGTAAAATAAATCACTCAGGAGATTCGGTGAATTTTTTGGCCCTGAAAGCTTCTATATTTGACTGTCCTGGACACTGTGTTCCCTGACTGTTGACCATGTCCATTTGTTTCTGGCTTCAACATTTCAGAGGACTCTGTGGCCTTGTTTTCCAGACCTGAGTTTAATTGGAGAGTTAATTATCTGAGCAAGAACACGTAAGCCAAGTTGAGTCTGGGGGTGAAGCCTGCAATCTCTGTTCCACCTCAGTAGACAAGAAAGTCTTTGTGAATCTCTGTTGATTATATTTTTACATAAGCAAATGTTCCATATAGCGGAGGGAAACCAGGGAGAGGAGCCTGTAACCAGATCGTGTTTAGCTAAGAAGAAGACAAAAGCTCCTTTATCTCTTTGCAATAACTTAGCCTCGGAAGACCTGAGGCCTGAGGTCCTCGTTTCAGTTCCACGCAGGCATTCGAGCTAAACAGGAAGGAATGAGGGTTCACTCACTTGGCCTCTGCCTTCAGACATGATTTCTGATTAGCATGTGCTTCTCAGATGGAATTCGTAAGCACCTTGAATAATTTATCCTTCTTCTCATGCCTGAAATTCTTCAGTGAGGTATTTTCAAAAGTTTCTTTCTTTTAAATTCACGTGACCTGGGCTATTAGACTGCCTTCACTAGTTCATGGTTTCCATGGCAACCAACTGAAGGATCCATTCAAGTCCATCCACAATAAGCTTAATGAAAATGATGTAACATCACTTAAAATAGGTGTCCCTTCGCAACAGCAGAGTTAGATTCCACACGCTTCTGGCGACTGTCTCTGAAAGAATCTTTTCATCTGCATCAGAAGTGCTGCACATTTCATTGTTCCCCAGATTTCCATATCTCAGTAAATTATTCTCTTATTACAGGGGAACTGCGTGTTTTAACCTTGGTCTTCTCCTCTGGAAAATGGAGAAAGTAATAACAGTGCTACTTATCTCATGGAATTTGTTCAAGAAGAAGATGGTGATGTGAAGGTGCTGGGAATATTGTAAAATAGCACACGGCACGGGTTATACCAATGCCTGCGGAGACCAGGCAGGTTACAGGCATGAGAGGAGACCAGCTGTAAGAAAAGTAACAGTGACATCACAATGAAAGATGACAACTGAGGCTAGGAGACATTATCCATCTTGTGGACTAAGGAAATGGGGCCCAGGCCTACCTAAAGGAAGCAGCTGCTACTTAATTTCAGCCAGTTGTGCTTTCTGGGAATATGGGGCCAGCGTTACCATTGTGCTTTTTGGGAATATGGGCCCGGTGCTACCAATTCTTCTGATTTCATTTTTAAAGAAGAACCAGAAATCCAGATCTTTAAAAAAAAAAACTCCTAATTTTTAAATTCTGGCAACGAATTCCTATTAAACACACACATGTGTGCACACATGCAGTGAGTGGAACAAACAATACGTATCTGTTGTCTGGATGCAACCCGCAGGCCACTGATTTGAGACCTTTGCTATAGGACTTTCTTAGAATGTAAGTCTGAAATGAGCTAAGTATTGACCTCTGATTTTTCAATCTTGTCGCAGAAAACAGACTACTCAGCTTTGCACGTATGATGTTAGGGATTTGTTGAGAACCACTGGAGAATGCCAAGAGGTGAAATGTACAAGGAGGTGATGCTGGCTTAACGTTGGGAAGAATTTATTGAGAATCAGAGGTGCTGAAATAGGATGGCGGTATTCCAACCAAATGCAATACATATACCTTGATAAGATCCTAGATTTTTGGGGAAAAAAAAGAAACAACAACAAAAGAAATTATTTTTAGGGCAATTGCAAAAATTTAAATAGGGGCTGTAGATTAGATGGTATTATTTGATTAATGTTAATTTCTTAGATGTTTGTGATAATAAATAGTGCTGTGGTTATATAGAACATCTTTATTCTTAGGAGATGCATGCTGAAGTATAGGATGAAGTGTCAGGATGTATACCACTTAGTTTCAGTGGTTTAGCCAAAAAAGAAAGAGTGTGTGTGTGTATGTGTATATGTGTTAAGAGAGAAAGAAAGAAAGAGAGAAAGCAAATGTAACAGCAAAAGTGCCTAACCAGATTTTCTTTCTTTTTTTTTTTTGTGGAAGATTAGCCCTAACTAACATCTGCTGCCAATCCTCCTCTTTTTACTGAGGAAGACTGGCCCTGAGCTAACATCCAAGCCCATCTTCCTCTACTTTATATGTGGGACGCCTGCTACAGCATGGCTTGCCAAGCGGTGCCATGCCCGCACCAGGATCCGAACCGGCGAATCCCAGGCTGCTGAAGCGGAACGTGTGCATTTTACCTCTCTGGCACTGGGCCGGCCCCTGAAATTTTTTTTTTAAGTAAGGAGAAAAAAAGATTTTCAGATGAGGTAAGTCGTTAGCTTCCTGCCATGGGAATCATTTAAGTTGATTCATTCATTGGATTGCCGAGATGTAAATCAGGGATGCTTTTAATTGCTCAATTCCTCAAGCCATTCATTTTTGTCTCTTTACTTAAATGAGATAATTTATATAAGCCAACAAACTAGCAGAGACACATGATAGGCATGCATCAAATGTTATTTTTCTCTTCATATATTTTTTAACTTACTCATGGTCATATTTTGGAACAAGTGTTGCATCTCAAAGAATCAATATCTGACTAAAAATGTACTAGTAATAAATTTGGGGATGAGGAAAATACTGTCAATTGCTATCTAAATTAACATCTATCCAGGTGAGTTTTCCTATTTAAACCCGGGAAATATTTTCATACTGACTCTTGAAAAGATTTGAGTTTCTCACTTCAGGGTACCCTTGTCCTCTGCTCCTGCTTGAGAACAAATAAAAAATATACACTACATTGAAAGTTTCCGAACAATCAGATGGCACACAAAGGGACATCAGAACAAAACTAAACACTTCCCGCAGACATGTAGACATCTTTGTGAAGTTGTAACTACAATCTAGCATTCCAGGTGTGGACTCCTCCATCCAGGGGCTGACAAGCTTCCTCTGTGGTCAGCCCCTCAGAACGCTCGGGCCCTGTAGGCATCAGCGACCACAGCACTCTGTGAGCTCACTCTCACGCGAGTGTCTGCTGTCCTCTCTGGCCATCTCCGAATGGGCACATCTCTAGGGTCAGTAGTCATAACCTTATTGTACTTGGCCTTCTAAAACTTTTTCCTGGACCCTGGAACACTCTTCCTAATTTTTCTGCCTTAGAACCCAGGTCAGTTTTGTCCTGTGTCACTGCCTCTCTAGAAACTCCTCTCTCCAGGTGAGCTTTCCCGAGTGCACCTCCCTGGGCGTGGCTCCGCTCTCCAGAGGCTCACAGTCACAAGCTCTACCTTCAAGGCACGCCTGCTCCAACACCTGTGGGGGTGGGGGGAGTCCAAATATCACACGTCTATGTGTTTAAGTGTCACAAAGCAAACTTAGGAACCGTTAAATAAACTATGTTCTGCCCTCCTACTTTGACAAAGATATCTCCTGTCAATGCCCTGCAGGCAAAGACCACTAGGAACATACTTGTAGTGGAACAAAGTTGAGTGATTGACTCATTGCAATGACAGAGAGACCACACCCCATGTGGAACCGAGGGACATCTCAATCAGAGGGTATTAGAATCCTGTTAGAGGATTTGGGCTTAAGATGGGTGATTTTGGTGAGGGTTCAAGGAAGCACGGCTCTGCTGAGGAATAAATAAATGGACGCTCTTGGGAAGTGGAGATAGTCCTATGACCGAGCATCTTAACAAAGTGGGGCCAACGCTGAGACTGGTAAGGAAACAGTAGTCACTCGTATTAGTCAGGATGGGGGGATATTGGTCATTGTTGTGGTTTGGCTAATGTTCTTGTTTTGGTCTGAGTTCAGCCATAAGGAGACGTATTGTTTTTCTCTTGCTCCATCAGAGTGACAGGGTGGCCTTGTCTGATGCTGGTGTTTTGTGAGATTGTTTATGCTCAACTGGAGAATACCATGGCCTACCTGGGAGTGCACAGCTGGCAACTTGTGACACCAAGCCTAGCTGATGGTGACACTGCTTTTTTCTTTCTCCTTTCATTTCCCCTTCTTCATTTCCCCCTTGACAAAGAGGGCTAGGTTTGAACCTAGAAGTCCCTCCTGAATCTAGAAGACTCCTCAGTGTTCTGTGCCAGGATGTGGCAATGGAGCAGAGCCATCTTCACTCCTTTCTCCTCCTACTCCTGTCTCCTTCCTACCCCTGGATCTGTCTCACACTGGGAAAGGCCTAACACTCAGGACTATGCACATCTCATCCCACACATCGAAGCCGAGCTGTGGCCACCACTTGGCCTAGAGGTCTGCACACTAGCAGTGAGGTGCAGCCTCAAGAGGGTGAACTCATGGGAGAGGGCCGGACACGACAGGGAAGCAGGCTCAGGGCTGTTTGCAAGGGAATTCCAGGGTCCTGGGTGCCTGGAACATAATCTAGCATTTGGCTCCAGATGGGGTCATTCTCCTGGTCCTGTGGACTTCTCACGTCATGGGGAAGGGCATGGCTAGAAGAGAGTCAGACGGGAGCCTTGAAAGTGCAGGACCAGGGAGCCCTCTTGCCCGAGTCTGAGAGGGTCTGCCTCTAATTGACTCCCTGCCTTGGCCCATTCATTATCCTGACCTCCTGTCTGGCAGGCCTTCCACTCCTGGTCTCTTCTCGCTTGCTCAGTTCCGTTGTCCCTCATGCTGTGGTATTAAGATAGTCACTCAATACATGCACACAAGAAGTAAACCCAAACTGATAGGAAATATGACAACTGTTCAATGTTCAATGCTATTTCTATCTCCTCAGCTTTTTCAAAGAAACAGAGAAATATACAAAAAGTTGCTTAAAATTAATGTTTGTGTAAGTGGTCTAACTCTGTAAGAGTGAAAATATGTCCTAATGTGCCAAGATTAGCAAAAATGGAGTAATTGGTCGGTCCCATTTCCTGAGAAGCTATACTAATTAGCTTACTAATTCTATCTTCCTTTAAAATGTTTGGCTTTTAGATAAGAAACAGGTTAACATTTCCAGAACTAATTTTCATAATGTATTTTAGTCCTTATCGAAGAATATTTTGGTTTCTTCTCTTGATTCTTACTTCTCAAAAGAGGAAAATCTTTCCTCATTTTTCTAGAAAGTAAGGAAAACGACCTCTAGTTTTATGCTCAAAGAATCCTCCTATAGATAATAATGACCTCAGATGGTGGTACTTTAGGATGTTGGGATGAAAGGTTTTTTCAAGGCAGTTACTGAGGCGTTATCGGTGTAAATGCTGATGTACAGCTGACCCACGAGAAAGGGCATCCTGCAGCCCCATTGTAAGTATGTCTGGCACAGAAACCTCATATCTTCAAACATAAAAATTGTGAAACCATATTCTTTATTTGTTTGGGAACAGTTTACAAAAGAGAATTTTATTTTTTTTATTATCTAGAATTTTATATTTCTATACTTCTCAGGCCTATGTGAAATAATATTTGTCGCTTCTTTCAAGTACTATTATTTAAAACATTTTCACTTTGCCATTAAGCGCTGCTTAGTGAAGTTCTGAGCGTATGTATTTCCTTCTTTAATTTTCTTCCACCTGTATGAGTATGAGTATGAGTATGATCAGTGAAGACAGTGTGTTTGGAGTCAGACTTTCTGTTGAATCCCAACTCTGTCATTTACTTGCTGGGTGATCACATACCTCAGTGTCACCCCCCTCTCCCCTAAAATGGGGAAAATACCAAGAGTTACTTTATAAGGTTGTAAGGGTTCAATGGAAAGCACTTAGTATGGTGTCTGGCCCATAGTAAGCACTCAGTACATGTAAGCATTGAGTTTTTTCAACATTATTTAATAAGTGCCCACTATTGATGAGGCACTATCCTGGGTGGTGAGGACGCAATAGTGAATGAGACGTGCTCCTTATTCTCCGGGAGCTTATACAGTACGGAGACAGGAGACAGGTGAGTAAGTAAGTGGGCATAACAGGATGGGACTTGGGATTGCCATGACAGTGCCCCGGTGGAAGCCCTTCCCAGTTATGAGAGGCCAGGAAAGGCTTTCCAGGGCTGATGCCTCCGCTGACGCCAAAAGGATGAAGAGAACCAACGAAGTGATGTGGGATCTGATGAGGCATTCCGAGCATCTGGAACAGCATGCACAAAGTCCCAGAGGTAAGAGAGAGCAGGGTGACTGCCGTGCTGCTGTTCAACCTCCTCAAGTCATTGGTGCAATAAGGAAGAATGGAAAGAAACGAAACAGCTTTGTTTTTCTGCATTCTTCATTCTTTCAGTTATTCTCTTTTTCTCAGAGGTCCCAAGTAGAGGTCAGAATTATTGTATCTGTGTAGAGGGGCTAGTGTGACATTCTTCGTGCTTCTTCAGACCTTGTTTTGCTTCCCTCTCCCCTTACGTGTCCTCAGGCCACCACTGCACCTGGGTGTGGTTCAGGATTCCCCCTCGGGGGACTTACCCGTCTACGGAATATTTGTTTTAGCTTCTTTTACCCTTTTAGACTTAATCTGATGTTTTATTTTAGGTTTCCTTTCTCCCCATTTTACGGTCTTGTTTTTTCCCCACTTTTTCTTGTTGTTCTTAGTACCTTCAATTGATGATCACTCAAGTTTTATCAGTTCATTTTATTCCTTCTGTCTTATTAGTAACAAAGACTTTAAAGTTTGCTTAACCTCCAAAATGGTCTTTGGAATACAATCTTTTCTTTCACACTGGTCACACCCTTGCTACACAACGCTTTTACTGGGATTTAGCCATTTTTAAGGTTCTCTTGGCCAAGACATCAACATTGACATTACAACAAAAATGTCACATGCTTTTGAATAACATGCTTTGCTGAAACCTAAATAAATAATTTCTACCGGCTCTATCAAGGGAGTCCAAGATACTCAGCTACTCAAAACCAACAATCAAAATTTGCGCAAATGTCCTAGTGACTGGCTCAAAATTGAAACTATTAGATATCTTAGAAAACTGTCACTTTTAATCCTGATTTTGATATCCCCACCAACCGCACCTCCC